GGCGCTTTTTTTTTTTACTCCTATGTGGTAACCTAAGATTTTCCTCTGGAATCAGCAGAATCTGGAAAGCAATAGCGCATTTCATCATGAACTGTGAAATCTCTGTGGATTACCCATTAGACGGCAATGTCATCATCCATGTCTGGAGGTGCAGATCTACTGCTAAGCAATACTACAAAAAATAACATTGCTTTTTTTCATTTTCACTGTTTAAAACATAATTTTTATTACACAATGCTACTGTGCAGCTAAAGGGTGATTGTGAGCAAGGGAATGCTCTTGTGTGGGTGTGTACATACTGGGTTTGAATGTTATCTTTGCACTTCTGTACTAAACCTTGATTCCTCTTTTAAAACTAAAATTAAAATGGTGAATTCAGCCTTGACAACTTTCCATAAAATCCAGCCAGCTCATGAAGAGATGTGTGGAATAGAAGTGGGGATTTTATTGACATATTACTCCACTCAGTGGAAATGAAAAATCTTTTATTATACTTAATTATTGTATTATTTTCCATATGAACAACTGTAAACCTACTTTTATCCTACTCCGTATTTGGTTTTCACTGGGTCTTATGGGTTTGCCTTGGATAGTAATAAAGAAAATATTAGAACCTAAAGATATGAAGAGGTCCATCTGGATATCATTGTTCAAACAATATATTTGAATATTACAAATCTAGGTAACATGTATGAACTGCCCAACTTTTTTGAGTGAACCTAGTAGGCCAGGTGACTAAGAGTGAAATTGTGGCATGTGGTCTACTCTAGAGATATTCTCCAGAAGTCAGTCATTGAAAATATGATGCTTAATGCTATTGTGCTTATCAAGGACTCACAGTAATGTTGAAGTTAAAAAAAAATGTTTGGACCAAAAAGTAACAAAAAGTAATATTGGAAAATAAACTAACGTCTATAAAAAATAACGTTGCATGGTTGTTATTAATTGCTAAATTAATATTGTAGGAACTTTATTAGACTCAATTGCATTTAAAATAATTTGTGACATTTCTCATTTTGCAAGAATTTCAAAGTACATACTGACTGCTGAAAAATTATAGCCAATTACCAAGGACATGCATTACTCATATCCTTAAATAATTTAGAAAACAAAATTGCTAAACTCTTTTAAAAATTATTGTAGAAAAATGTCAATGTAGAATGTCAAATGCAATTTTATTATGGTCATACTAGAGGCCCAGTGCATGAATTTTTGCATGGGTGGCATCCCTCTGTACGAAGACAAAGATTCATAGGGAGAAAGTTATATGATGAAAACAAATATTGGAGTCATGCATTTCAAGCCAAGAAATATCAAAGATTGTCAGCAAACCACCAGAACCTTGATTTCACTTCTGCACTCCCAAACGGTGAGACAATAAATTTCTGTTGGTTTAAACCACCTAGTTTATGGTCCTTTGTTATAGCAGCCCTGGGAAACTAATCAACCAGCAATCTTAATATTTACTGCCTTTTTTAAAAAAAAATACAGGCCATACTTCAGATGATTTTCAATGGTTTTGGATATCATATTTTGGATTCCTGATTTACTAGAGTGTCAAAATTGCAAAAGACCTTAAAAATTAGTATTCAGTTTCATTTTATAATCAACTTAACTGAATTTAAATGTGGTAAAATGGTGTCTAAAGTACT